CTATGGAGTCACTCGCCCTAACTCAGAATGTTGTTGCTGCTGAAACTACACAATGAATCCTTCTGCAGTTGGAATTTCAGATGCAATAATCCCTTACGGAGTGTTGTCTAATTATTTTATTATGCATAATAAATGTAAAATATTTATTTTAGTTTACATAATTATATTAAATATGCATGCTATTTATCCTGAGTCTTGTAAGACATCCTTCACAAGTGATGTATTTTTCAGAAAGGTGCATTTATGGAATTAATGCTGTTTTGCTGGTCTGGCTGTTTATTTTGTAAAGCTTGTAAAAAGTCTCTTATCTATTACCATAGAACATTTTGTCAACCCTCTGCATGCTGCCTTCCATTTTTTCCTGAGTACTGTGTGTAAAATGAAGAGTGGATTGTAAACTGTTCAGTGGGGCCCCAGAGGAATAAATGTCATTTTCTTTAATTAAAGAACAGTGGTGACATACAGTAAGTTAATGTTAAACCTGTCATGAGATCTCATGGTCACAGTAAGTTATGGCAATGTGTGGTAAACACATCATAAGACTAATCCTACATTTCTCATGCACTCTAAATTCCCATAGACTTCAATGGTGTGCTAGAAAAGCAGGATCAGGCCTTATATGATCAATGACAAATTAACATAAATCTATTTTGTACTAAGATGTACATGTTCTTCTACAGTGAATGGATATTATTATATGTCTAAGAAATGGTGATAGTTATATGAAACAGTAAGTTCTAGTGGGCTCCGACTTAAGCCAACTGGTTCAAATCTGGATAACCACAAGTAGGCTCCCAAATCTACATTTAGGCATAAAAGTGGCTTGATTTTCAAAAATGATGAGCACCTGCAGCTCCCATTGATTTTACTGGGATTTGTGGGATCCCAGCACTTCTGAAAATCAGGCCATTAATATTTAGGTGCCTAAATATGGGGCCTTACTTTACGCAGACAGATTTGAAAAGTTTGGCCTTAGGAAATAAAATCCACACTATTCAAAGTTTACGGACATAGACCCGTTTCAGCAAGTTCCAGGACTCCTTATTTTTCACTCTGCCACATAGAAAATGCAAATAATATTTTTGTCAGTAGAACTCCAATGTCATACAATTAAAAAAGTTTAGCCACATAACACTTCTCTCTTAAATGACATAGAAATCTAGGATAACGATTGCAGAAGTAATAGAGGAAAAGGGCCCTATGAGACCAATTCTGTACTATAAAATTATGGTGAACATTAATTAAGAATGAATAACTTTTTTGTATAATGGAGTATATTGATTTAATAATGGAAAAGACATATTGTGATTTGAGATCATAAATGCAGAGAAAAGCATATATATTTACATTTAAATAGACTGAAGGAGTCATTGGCTAAATTAATAGTTCAAACTTGAAAAATATATCCAGGCTGAAAAGACCAATTATATCTCTTTTTTGAAACACATCCAAAAGAGAATTGTTCATATTTTAAGATTTTTTCTTATTTCATAAATAATAATTATTCACACTATTGCCAGATACATAAAATTAGAAGATAATTTCTTTGCCATGAGGTAATGTATTTTTGCATTATGAATTTAGAAGTCTAAAAGTAAATATCACAAGGTCAAGATGCAAATGACTCCCAATGTAAGATAACATACTGCACAATTTTGGAGCTACAGTCATAAACATAGCTTATATAAACAAATCAATCAAGTATATACAATTCAATGCAACACTTGTTTTCTTTTTGGGAATATAGATTTCATTACGAATTATATAATTTGTGTGATAAAATTCTGAAAGTAGTTTATTATTCACTTGGGCACACCACAGTCATTCAAGCCTTTCCCTAGTTAAGGATGGAATTTCCCTGCTGACTGTGAGTTATTGAGAATATTTTCTCCTTTCTATTCTATCCAGCCCAAACCAATCTTTTTCCCTAGATGTCTTATAGTCTATTCCACTTTAGTCTCTGTTGCTAATAAAAAAGACAAGCGATATGTGCTTATATAGTTGCAAAACAATCCACATTTTAATCACAACAGTTTCTAAATTCATATTTATTCTTTTATTAGCATCCTTTCATCCTAAAGCTTCTCAAACTGCCTTACAGAAGATGAGCTCTGTTGAGCTTAAAACCTGGTGTCTTTCACCAGCAGAAGTTGGTCCAATAAAAGATATTAACTCACCCAGCTTGTCTCTTATGGAATGCATGCAGAGATCATGTAATTCACCTCTGAAAGCAGATGTAAAAGAGTGCAAGCAACACTACTGTATTTCTACACACAAACTAAAGAATACTCCTCTCATTGAAATGAAAGTGATTACAATTAAAAAGTCTGCATTTGCCAAGAGTTACCACAAAATAGTATTTAAGGTAGTCCAGCAACGACCTAACAACTTGTTCTGGGGGAACTTAGAGTAGACTGGCAGGATACAATTACCAACATGAGAGTTTGAGCAGAACACATGAAGGTTAACATGTTTACAACTGCAAAAAGTTCTCTAATGCCTACAAATAGTTACAGCCTCAATTTCATGTTCTTCCAAAGGGTGGCGCCTACAATAACACATGCTGAGGTGTTGGTTTACAATTGAAGAGGACCACATGTTGAGTCCCAGCACAGGAGTGAGAGAACGAAGAGGAAGGCAATATGTTAGCCACTTTAAAAAAAAAAAAAAAAGGAAAGGAAAGAGGAAGATGGAGTGGGGAAAACATAGCTGCCAACAACCTTGGCTATTATCCCAGGACTGTGGAAGCTGGCAGGCAGATATAGAGATGCTGAACTCTAGGCACAGCGGTCCCATTCCTGGCTCCTTAGCAGCTTTGCAGGGTGCGTCTCTGCCTCTCAACTGCAGCAGCAACAGCTCTAATTTCTGCATCACTGCCAGCGCTCATAAGGAATCTCCTGCTGGACAAGGAGTTGGTCACGTTGGCCCAGAAGGGAGCCGTGACAGAGGAGCTCTGAGATACTATAGTCATGGGACAATTATTTCCAAATAAACAAGGAAGTGGGGGCTGCCAGAGGGTTTTCTATGCACTCTGATGAATTTTAGGTTATTTTCTTTGTTCTGTCTCTTCTCTAAGAAAATAACTACAAACACACTAGAATACTTATAAAAACCTTCTATGTCCTGGGATCTCTAGAGTATTTGGAAAATTGTCCCTGGCCAGCAGTTTAGCCTCATTCACTACACATCTTATCGGACACAATATTTAAGACACCATGGCACCTTTCCCAAACCTGAAGTAGAGGTCTGTGTAGCTTGAAAACTTGTTTCTTTTACCAACAGAAGTTGATCCAATAAAAGATGTTACCTCATCCAACTTGTCTAAGCCCAACACAGCTACAACAACACTGCAATCAATATGTAAGATATGCATTTTGTGTCATGAGCAGTGAAATAGGTAAAGCTCTAGAGGAGCTGTCCATTCGTTCACTGTGCACCCAGGGCCCAATCCCGCAAACTCTTACATGAGCAACGAGAAGCACTCCCATTCACTGGTGATTTCAAATGAGTCTCATTAGATCACCAAAACGTTTCTCTTATTTCCTAGTTGAGGCCTACTCCTCTGAGTAGGGACTACTCATGAGAGTGAAGGTTTGCAAGATGAGGCCCCTTTTAAGGTGCATTGGGAATGGGACAGCATTCCTCAGGAGTCTTTACATCTTGCCATATTCACTGCAATCCTTGTAAGTCCTCACCTTCTATGTGCCTCTTTGAAGGTGAACATTCAGTGATGTAGAGCCCAACACAAACCCTGGCTTCACTGCCTGATCCAAAGCTCATTGAAGTCATTGGAAAGACTCCAATTTCCTTCAATGGTGCCCTCACTTTGCACTTGTAAGGCAGAAACTGTATAGCTCCTAATGCATGCAGTTCAGGAGCTTCCTAGTATCTACTTCATGCTGCGTGGGACAGGGCACTCTGGAAGTGTCTAACCTTGATTATATTTTTTCTTTTTTAAACACTAGGAAAGGCCATTAAAAAAAGCTATGTTAAAAGAACATTATGGTTGTATGCTTAGCGCTCACAAGTCAAGAAATGCTGCAGAACTGCACTCACAAGTTTAACGTTCCTCTTGTGTATATGCACTGAGATAACTTTTAATGACATGATCACATACCCTTTCCCAAATATATTATCCATTTCTAAAACTTTGTAAGTCAATTCTCGTAAGCTGCATGTGAATGATTTTCGTGCACTCTTTGTATAGCATACACAGAATAGTACACAATGCTATAAGATGTAAAAAATCCAAAAATACAATCAAAGAGAAAGCATATATTACACTGCATTTGAAAAATAGTATATGACCATTTAATTAAGAACTGCATTGTAATGTATATAAGGCTTATGCGGTCGAGTTAAGCTTGCACAAATAACCTTAATTTATCTCTTTTCTTGACTTTTGCATGCTTAACAATGCAGCCATGATATTGTCAAAACAGGATGGCTTTTAGGGCAGTATCTTATGCGACTTTACCACGCAGAATGCTCTTCTTCCAACCTTGCCCGATCAACTAGCCTGGCAAGAAGGAAAAACAGTAGCAGAAACTTTAACTTTAACTAACTCCACTTGCTTCCACTTTTAATATGTGTTTGATGAGTGCTCAGGCTGCTAAGCCTTTTGGGGTAGCTTTTCTTTCTTGGTGGAATGGCTGCAACTCAACCGAGAAAATTTTCAAAAGCAGAGTTGATTTGAAAAGGCAATGCAGATAAGTAGTCTCACCATGGAGAATTCTAATAGACACCAGAGCAGCTGTGAAACCAACATTCTGTATTAGCATTATAGTGTTACCACTAAAAAGTTTCCCATCATTTGTTTTTCTTTCTAAAATAATATCTCAATACTATGAGACTAATTTTTAAGTTACCTCCTAATTTAATATGCGATTACTGCTGAACTGATGGAATTTTAATGGCAATATATTTTCACTGGTGACTTCAAATGAACTTCATAAGATCACCTTAACTCTTTCATCACTTTCTTATTAATGACTTGTTACCTGTAGTCACACCAGGGACATCTGTAGGGTTTTTCACCAGTATGGACACGCTTATGTCGTGTCAGATGTGACTGTGTTGTGGAAGCGAAATTACACTCATCACATCTGAATGGTTTCTCTCCTGAAAGAGGACAAGAAAATACAGGCATTAATCATTTTAACAGATAGAAAACTCCCTGAGCCAGATTTTCAGTTCATATGCAGCACAAGAGCAAATACAATCTGCAGTTTCAAATATAACAAACCTCTTCTTAATTACAAAATACTCCTGCAGTAACTCCCATTACAAGTTATCTACCTTACTTGCTGGTTGCTTCCTCATGTGGCACTAGAGCAGCCTGCCTGCCAGGGAGGAGGAAGTACTGCACTGGGCTCAGATGTGAAGCCCTTCTTCCTCCTTCCTGAAAGTGCACTACTAACAAGGGAGTCAGTATAGCGCTGCTTTATTGGACTCATCAATGCAACTTCCATCATGAAAAAGAGAGATAAGAAGGGATGGGGAACCAAAGGAGACAAGGAAAAGAATAGCAAAATTATCAGCCTCATTTTATAGCTGGACTAACTAAGAAAAGTTAAGTCACTCAGTCATTGGAGTCAGTGCCAGAGCATGGGATTCTCTAGTTTTCCATCCTTTGCTTCATCCACAAGACTAGTCCATGCTACCCAGTTTCTCTTAGTGGGCAGAGGTCACACTGGCTGCTAAGATGCTAGCAGCTGACTTGAAGAGATCTTGAGGCAGCCTTAGCGCAGTTATCAGCAGCAGCCTAAGCAGCTCTGCGCACCACAGCTGTGAACCAACTTGGGAGGCACTTGAACACTGACGGACCTACAGCCACGGTTAGGAAAAATCAGTGGTGAATTTTCAAGTCTAGGGATCAGTTCACATTGTTCTTCATTTTTAAGGATTCCTTCTCAAAACAAAGAATAAAAAACATAACACACACAAAATCACTATTTTAAAATAACATTATTAAGGTGGAATGGTCAAGCATTCAAAAGTTAGGAACTGCCAGAATTAACGTTGCATTAATGTTGCAGAATTAATGTGCATGCATTATGAAAGTCTTTAAATGCATGATCACATGCCATTATTTCCATAGGACCCCAGCCTCATATACTGTACAGAATAGCAGAGCTCTCTTAATGAGCAGGTATTCAATATTTTGTTTTATTCTGGTTGTTCAATGTGGGCCCCTAGACCTTATTTACTGCACACTATTCAAACTCTGAAGACAGATTGATTAATTTCCTTGCGGGCTTTTCTGTGATGCTCATCATTATAGTGAGTGCTTCACAAATATCAATTATCTTCACAAAACCTCTGTGAAACAAGGGGTTGGGGGTATTAATTCCATTTGGATGGGGAACTGAGGCACAGAGAGACTAAAGTAAAAAGTTTCCACTAATTTTGGGTGCCCAAGTTGAGACAACTAAGACCTGATTTTTTTTCAGAGTACTTAGCATTATACAGCAATTTAATTCCCACTGACTTCAGATGCAGCTGTGACTTCTGCTAATCAGAGTCTGAAACTGAACACCTATAAAATGAGGAATACGCAATTAGTAAGCATCTCTGAAAAGCTCGGTTTAAGTGACTTGCCCAGCATCACAAAGGAACTCTGTGGCACTGTCAGAGATAGAAAGCAATTCTCCAGGGTAGCATTTGACTGTCTTAATAATGAGACCATTCTTTCTCTTTGTGTAATCCTCTGCCTCTTTCATAATACACCTGGAGCTAGAGCAGGCTGGAAAACGTAAATCCCTTCTTGTGAAAAATTTTGCTTTTTTGAATTGTTTTTTGTCACAAACCATGATGAAAAGGCAAAAAATAAAATTTTCTTTAGCAGGATGAGGGTTCTGGAGAAAAAATTGTTTTGGGAGAATCAAAACAGAGTTTTTCAGCTTCCTGGCTGCTTGGCCAGAAGGTGCTGGTCAATTTCAGGTAGCAAGTGAAAAAGACAAGAGACTTCCAGCCTGGCTGGAGAGGCGGAGAGCCAGGGTGCTCAGCATCCCCACCTCTGGGGTCACAGCAACAGAGAGTAGGGATGCCCCGTATCTCCGGCCCTGCAATTGGGGGAGTAGGCTGGAAGCTACTGAGGCAGAGTCATGGCACTCAGCACCACCAGCTCTCCTGGAAAGTTTTTGTCAGTTTCACTTTCCACCAGGCAGTTTCTTGCCCAGGCAGTTTTAGTCTCTCCCACCCAGGATCACTGTCCTGGTCCCAATTTACACCCAGACTCCCAGTCTCTCTCTTTCTCCTCCCTTCCCCCATCCCCTTGCCCAGCCAGTCCCAGCCAATGTGTTTCCCCTTCCCCCGACCTCCAATTGCCCTCCCACCCACATTGCCTGTCCCTGCGGGCTTCCAGTTCCAATCTCCCTCCCCAGGCTCTCCATCCAATCAAAGTCTCCTCTCCCACTGGCTCCATATCTCAGTCTCTATGCCCTGCTTCTTCCAGTTCCCCTCCCACACCAACACTCCTCTTCAGATATGTCTCCCGTCCTCCCTCACCTCGTTCCCCCCACCCCACAGGTACTCAGACCCAAACTGCTTCCAAGCCAGGTGCAGTCTCCCTCTTACCCCACCTCCCAGACCCAGTTTCCCTCTCCCCACACCACCAGCCTGCAATCCCAATCTCCCCCAGAAGGCTCCTTGTCCCAGTCCTACTCCCTGGTTGCCTGCTTACCCCCCATCCAGCAGATCGGGCTCTTGTCCTTTCTGAATTCATATCAAGTAGCTTCTCCCTTCCTACTGCCTGGGCCCAGTCGGGGGTGGGGGAGTCCCTAAGAGCACAGAAGAAACAGGCTCCCTACTCTCAGTTCCAACCGTACCTGGCACAGCCTGCAGCAGCCCAGGCCTTCAATTGCAGAGAAAGTCCTGCTCAGCTCCAGGCTGGAGCATGCCCAGTGTGGATGGAATCTTTGGGGGAATTTCATTACTAAAATCTAAGAAGTCTCTACTAAGCATGTGCAAATGGCAATTTTTTCTAAGGTTTATAAGTTGGCCAAATTTGGTCAGATTTTCATTGGGATAGCGAGAGGAACATCCCCTAACATAAAGGCCACCTTCTGCCAAATATCAATTGCCTGCTCCAAAGCACGGAGTGCAAAAAATGTTCAAACTAAAGGATGCCAGAATGTTTTTAATGTGGACAAAGCAACATATTTTTTTCTAGCCTCATTCTCAGAAACAACTAAACTGTTTTGGCTGCAATCTTAAAAAACTAGCCTGAGGCAGACACCTGGCATGGAAAATTTCAACCCAAACAGTTGAGGTTTGGCAAAGTTATAAGCAACTGAAAACAGGGTCTTAAAATGGGAAGTGTTAGACAATATTAATAATAGACGGTCATACCCGCCCCACATATATTTCCCAAATGAAAGATGGGATTAATCCTCATATTTCTAACTAGCCAAACCAGGAGAAGCCCAGACTGTAGGCTTCTTAGGCTCTGAAAGACCGCTCTAGAGAAAGAAGATGGGAAACCTGCATGGGGACTGGTGAAAAGCAGGCAAAGGAGAGGTAGCTTCAAGACTTAGAACAATTGCTTCTAGTAGCTATTGGAAAGAATTTCAGCTACAATTTTTCAGCTCCTGTTCCCTGGCCAGGGGAGTGAGGAAAACCCAGGATTGTGCCGGACAGATTGGGACTGCTGGCAAATATGCCTTTCCTGCTCCAAACGAGACTTTCCTGACAGATACCCAATCTCTTCTTCTCTGAAGAAAGTGATTCTTCCAACTGTTTGACTGACAGTGGCTTCTTTTCCAATTAAACTCTCTGGGATACTTAGCACTATTTCGACAACCTATTCTTGAACTGAAAATCCTGTGCCAACTCCTGGTTTGTTTTCTCTTAGAGGATTAAAGAAGATAGTAATATTTCTGAAACCTAAGTAACACAGCTCAAGTATTATAGAGAAGGGTCTTCCTTCCTTCCTTTTAGCAGTTTTCATTTAATATACATTTGAACCTTATTAAACTGCACCTTTGTAAACTGGAAACCAGCAAATCTGCACTGAAAATGATTTTCTGGTTTGCAGTCCATTTCAACACATATCAGGAAAGTTCTGCTGCTATGCTGAGGCAGAGCCAGTGAGGCTGACAGATCAGTGATGTTCCACTGTAGCTAGTAGAGTTTGGAAATTCCATCATGACCAAAGAAAAATGAATAATCCTCACCCACCGCATGAGGAAGTTTCTCCTTAGGAAATCCTTGTGGCTAAGTGTCCCTGTCAGACAGAGTATGTGTAAATTTCAGTTGACAGAAAATATATCACAGCAACACAAAACAAAAGGCCAAATGAACTGGAGAAAACTGACTGCCTAACATTCTCAGTAGCTCTTAGAGGCTGCACCAAGGGGAAAAATATTTATGTATGAAACCAAGTCAATAAGAAAACTTTTTGGTTCACTTGATAGATAAGCTTGTCTCAACCAAAACCAGAACACCCCATGCTAAAGTGATAGAGAGACAAAAAGAAGCCCAAATTGCTTTTTCCACAGCCCGGGCCAAGGAAGAAGTACTGCTGCTCCCTCCCAACCATTCCCCCCATGCTTGCTCCAACGGCTTCTTCAATAACTTTCCCTCCTAACTGCTTGGTCCCTTCCTCATCCATCTCCCCACAACTGCTTCCACTCTCCTCCTGATATCTAATATTCCCACTCCCAATCCGTGCTTCCCTCAAGTGCCTATGCCCGTTCTCACACACCTCCAGGTCAGTTTCCACTATCTTCATACTGCTTACTCCATTTCATATCTGTCCTTCATACCTCCGCAACAGCTCTAAACTTTGCAGCACAATTTCCTGTTTGCTGTGGCAGAATACAGGGAATGAACACCTACCGAGTTCCTGGGGGTGGGCGGGCGCAAGCAGATTAGGGGGAAGAGTGAATAAACCCAGGACTCAAATAATTTCGGGGGACAACTAATAAAAAAAAACCAGGAACAGGAGTGAGGTCAGAGGACTACAAACAAGGAACTGGAAGGAGACACCAAGCAGACAACGCTGGACTGTGCCACTGCTCCTAAAAGGTGTGTAGGGAGCCAGTGGACACAGCCTAGAGGAACTTTGCCTGGATGCGTGATCGTAGGGAGGAACAGAAATGGGCCCACAGTCGTAGAGC